GCAGGTGCAGCTCGAGGCCAACAGCACAGCAATGCTGCTGACAGACGTCATCGGCAGCAGAAAGCAGCAGCAGCAGCAGCTGCTGCAGCAAATTGTGCAGCAGCAGCAGCAGCAAACGCTGCAGCAGCACAAGCGGGAGATGCAGCAGGATCCTACCGACCAACTTTATCAAGAGGATGAGCAGCAACAGCAGCAGCAGCAGCAACAGCAGCAGCAGCAGCAAGATGATAAAGGTACTGCAGCAGTTGGAGCAAAACTAGTGGAATAGAGGTGCAGCAGCTACAGCAGCAGCAGCTGCAGCAGCAGCAGCAGCTGCTGCAGCAGCAGCAGCAAATATAGCCAAAGCGGTGGCACTTGACGGCCGGTTAACCGTGATTCCCCTCATTGCTGCTGCTGCTGCTGCTGTTACTGCTGCTGCTGCAGCAGCAGCAGCAGCAGCTGGTGTCTATACACCTGAGTGCAGTGTCCGCCCTTGGAGGCAACTCTCCTGCAGACGCGCATTTTTTATAGCCTATAAACCACTATCCGACCAAACCCTAAACCCTAAACCCTAAATTGTAAACCCTAAACCCTAAACCCTAAATTGTAAACCCTAAACCCTAAATTGTAAACCCTAAACCCTAAACCCTAACAGATGGGGGCAGCTGAAGCCCCTAGACAGCAAACCTCCTTAAAGTACAACAAAACAATCGCTGTAGCAGCAACAGCAGTAGCAGCAGCAGCAACACGAGCAGAAGCAGCAGCAGCAGCAGCAGCAGCAGCAGCTGCTGCTGCTGCTAATATCCTTTGCTAAAATGCCGAGGGATTTCTTGAAATATTAAAAGTCATTGAAATTGTCAACAGGCAGGAGAGCTGCTGCTGCTGCTGCTGCTGCTGCTGCTGCAGACTCTCCTGCTGCTGCTGCTGCTGCATTAATTTTTCCTGGTGCCCCTGCTGCAGCAACTGCTGCTGCACCTATTTATGCTGCAGCAACTGCAGCAAATGGTGCAATAGCAGCAACTGGCAGCTTGCTGCTGCCAGACGCAACGACTGTTGCTATACAGAGAGCAGCTGCAGCAGCAGCTGCTGCTGCAGTTACTGCAGCAGCAGCAGCAGCAAATACTGCTGCTGCATTTACTGAGGAACAACCATCTTGGGTGCATGAGGGCCTGCATAATACAAAAACCCTAAACCCTAAACCCTAAATGTTCTAATTCTCCGAACCCTAAACTTTTACTATAAACCCTAAACCCTAAACCCTAAACCCTAAACCCTAAACCCTAAACCCTCGATACCTGTAGTACAGGTAGGCAGCTTTAAGAAATCATCCCAATCATATGCTCGACCTCCGCAGCAACTCCAACTCTTACAACCATCTCTAAAGGTGGGGTCACCTGGATGGTAGCTGCAGCAGCAGCAGCAGCAGCAGCAGCAACAGCAGCAGCAGCAGCAGCAGCAGCAGCAACAGCAACAGGAGAGGATTCAGCGACATATGCTGCAGTATCAGAAGTAACAAGATACAGCAGCAGCACATGCACACACCAGCAACAATAGCAGCAACAACAACAAAAACAGCAGCAGCAGCAGCAGCAGCAGCAACAGCAGCAGCAGCAGCAGACCTGCATGCAGTGTCTGTATTTTCTTCTGGTTTGTATGTCTTGCTGCATCCTTTGTGTATGCATTTATGTTGACCTTCAGGAGATACCTGCAGCACAAATACACACTCTCCTGCTGCTGCTGCTGCTGCTGCTGCTGCTGCTGTTGCTGCTGCTGTTGCTGTTTCTGGCGAAGCTGTATGTGTATAGCAATTGTAGGTGCAGCAGCAGCAGCAGCAGCTGCTGCTGCTGTTGTTCTTGTTGTTGCTGCTGCTTGGGTGTCATACATACCCAAGGCACTTCCTCCTGCAGCACATAAGGACAGGCAACAGCAGCAACAGTGCTGTCAGCAACAGCAGCAGCAGCAGCAGCAGCAACAGCAGCAGATGGTACAACAAGAGGCAACGAGAACACTTACTTGCTGCTGTTGTTGTTGCTGCTGCTGTTTCTCTTGCTGCTGTTGCTGCTGCTGCTTGTTGAACTCCTCAATGCTGCGCGGCGCAGTTTGTGCTTCTGCTGCTGGTGCTGCTGGTGCTGCTGCTGGCTTCGGTGCTGCTGCAGCAGCAGCAGCAGCAGGCTGCTGCGGCGGGACGTCGCTGTGGGGACCCACAGCACAACCTGAAGGCAATACAAACAGCAACACAATTGCTGCATGCTGCTGCTGCTGCTGCTGCTGCTGCTCTGGTGACGTGCAACATATTGTTGCTGCTGCTGCAGCAGCAACAGCAGCAGCAGGACTTGCTGCTGTTGCTGCTGCTGCTGCTGATGCAACTCAACGAGCCTAAAGAGGCTAAAGAAGAAGAACTTAACGCTAACAGCTCATACGGATACTGCTGTTGCTGCTGCTGCTGCTTCTGTTGCTGCTGCTACTGTTGCTGCTGTTGCTGCTTCTGCTGCTGTTGCTGCTGCTGCTGCTGCTGCTGCTG